AGACCAACATGGTTACAACCTACACCCCTGTATATTGATGGTGGCATTTTTGTTGTGTTGACCTCTTCATTTGTTAGATATACATCTCTACTTGATCACTACATTTAAGTTCTTCATAGGCTAATGGAAAATCACTTTCAAGACCCTAAAGGGAGAACTACTAGTACAAAAAGTCACTAAAAAAACCCCAACTGAAATCTTGTAGATGGATCGCACACCTGTGCGCACACACACAAGCTTCAGGGGTGTAGCACACTTAGCAGAGAGCTCTGTATAGCACTGATAGGCAAAAGTGCCAGGAACTTAAATGCAAGTCACGTAGGATTTTCTTTTTCACTGACCATGGTAGATATTTTTGTTTGAGACAAAAAAGGAATACATACATGCTTGACATCGAATAAAAATATCAGCAGGCTTGCGCCCAACATACTAGAACATTGTTCAGCCATAATTCAACCTTGCAAAAATATTATCCCTGTAATCCTGCCAAGGCCATTGTATGGGTTATTTGAGTGTGTTTTAGCCATCCTGGCCGTGGGCTGCAGCAATTTTCATACTTGACTTTTCAGAAACCTTTTTGTTTTGTTAATGAATCAGTGTAACTTGTTCATTCTGGTTTTTCATCCTTTTTAAAATCCTTATCAAGGTCCCTTCCCCCTTCCTTGAGCATACCACATTTCAGCCCATAGCCCATGCTGATGAACACTTATTAACTATAGCTTGCTTGAAAGTGGCTCATTACATGGTCGTTTCAAGTTACCTCAAAATCCCTGTGTAAACAGTGTCCATAAAGGGAGTGCTCGGTGATTAACTCTTTCAGTCCAGGATTGAAATACCATGGCTACATGTCAATGTTTTCGTCAGAGTGCCAGTGACAAGTAAAGTGTGACAGTATTATTGAGGACACAAAATAACAGGAATACATCTTTGATATTTTAAGGCCTATATAAGCCAAAAGTTTGTTTTAGTCTGTAAACAAGTACATGAATATGTTAACTGGTTACATGACATTCAAAAGGCCAAAAACCCTGCAAATTTCCATTTGAAATATTGCATTGACAAAACAAAATAAACAAAAAACAGTTTATACAGTTTGGAAGGCTATTGTGCAGCAACTAATATTGAAAGACATCGCTATAGAAGATGGGAATTAATTCCAGCTAATATTAATTTATGGAGCCATCTTCTTCCCCTAATTATTTCTAAAAGCCACCCGATTCCACTAGGCTCACCAGAAACAGCTTCAGCTGAAGAATGAATGTTACATGGAGCCAAAAAGAGAGCAAACAAATGGGAGCCTGACTCTTGGGTTGAGTGAGGAGGGCACTGTCCTAAAAAGAAGGGTGTCCTGGATTTGGGCCATGCTCCTCATGCCATTTCTGTATGTTATCTGGTTACTATTTAATGCCAGAACCATGGGTATCTTGCCAGTAGAGTACAGCCAACCAAGAGATAGGCATCCTCTCTCTTGCTCTGCCATTAGACAAAATGGAATTTTTGGTGAGATGTATTTTGGAAAACAGTGTTCCATGATGAGTAGTATTCCACAAGCAGTCTCATAGATTTCAAGGTAGTAGTTACATTGGCTCATTCTTGTGTTCTGGTATCCTGGGACCTTCCATTGATGAATATAATTCTTATCTGTTTTGGGAATATAGGGATAGTTCTTATGAGCACTATTATCCCTTAAGATTTATTGCTGACCAGAAGTATTTGACCATATCTAATTGGAGTTATATGAAATATGCTGAAATACCTGCAATCTGAAAATAATAATGATAAAAAGCTAGTTCAGTGTACCAAAGTGATCCCAAGTCTACTCCACTTCTTATGCTTGATCACAGGTGCATTGGCTACTATATGCCCACTGGCTTAAACCTCCTCCAAAAATCATCACTGTTTACAGATAATCTATACCAGGCAGATTGCAAAGACAGGAAATTGGATAGCAAATGCCTCAAGTCCAACTAACAGTGAGCCCCTTTCTTTTCTAAGACTAAAAGGCTTCTACCCTGCTTTAGGACTGGCCGTAACAAGATCTGAAGAACTATTTCAAATTGTAAACCATCTGATTAACCCAGACTGCTTCCATCCACCTTTAAAAACTTAATGCCTGTCACTGAAAAGAGCTCTCATGCTAAATCAACAGAATGCCAGCTGACCTCAATATGGAACCATATGATTCATTATATTATCTGGCACTTTTGGCCGTGTGATTTGCCCTTACTCTTCAATCCACCTTTGTTGTGAGTAATTCTGATTCAAATCATATGAGTTGTTTCAAATAGTTGCCATTTAAAAAAGTAACTTGTTTGCTTCTTTTCCCCTTTCATATCAAACATGAAATTCCACTCACCACCCCAAATTACACTGGGCTGATTAGCAAGATAAGCACTAATTAATCTTGGACTGGTGACAGGTTCAAAGTCCAATGTCCCACGGCCCGTTAAGGCTTGAAATGGGCACTTTGTAGCACAAGAAAGCCAAAAATCTACTTTTCCATGGATATAAGACTTTGGTTTCTATGTCCTTTAAATCCTGAAATATTTGGCTTTAATACTAGAAGTTGTATATTGAGAAGATAATTGTTGTTCTTGATTTCATACTATTTAAATTAAACAGATAATTTCTTCTCTTGTTGGGTTTTTGTATATTTGTACTCTTGGTAGGCTGGCTATAAAGGTGAATAGATCCAAAAAGAAACACCAAAAAAATGAATTAAATCATCTGAAATATTTGTGTGTAAGTATTTAACATATATATGATTGATGATGGAGTCCTGCAGTGCATAAGTTTTACTGGAACATATTTAGGATGATCTGCTTAAACTACTCATCACTTTGATGCTAATAAAACTGTTCCAGAACTCATGCAAATAAAACTTTTTAGCACATTACCATTTAGTTTATCTACCTAAATACATCTATCTTGCACAAACAGCACCTCTTTCTATTCCTAGGGTTTACATATACAGAGTAGATAGCTATTCACTAGACACTTGGCAGCAAATGGGAATTTACATGGCAGTCTGTTGAAGAGTTTGAAAGTTTTCAGCCTCTCTATTTTAAGGTAAGGACTAGTGAGAAAAAATATGATGGTAACATCAGCAGTACTAGAGGAGAACTAAGGAGAGGAGGAAAGGAGGTGACTGGATGTAGAAGTTGTGGGACATACAAGATCCTGGCAAAAGCTATTTATGAAGTGTTGCTTGATACCACCCCTGAAAGACAAGATCTGAGGACTAGAGAAATGACAGTGAAGTTTAGATGGAAATTTTAAAACATGACAATATTTAAAACAGGAGGGCAGAAGAGGGTGATTCTTCAAAGAATATGGCCACAAAGAAAGGCAGAGGAAACAATGGCTACTGGAGGAGAAACAGAGCTGAGGAACTTGTTTATACAGAAGACTGAGAAACAGGCGGAAGCTGGGATAGCAAAGAAGGAAGGAAGGGAAGCAGTCACATGAGAAGAAAGGAATAGGTGATGGAGCCCAAGGGAGAATTAGTATAATACATAAAAGACTGGCAGATGGTAGGCAGACACTAAAAGATGTGGAGACTCAAGTGATATTAACTGGAATTCTTCTGCTCTTTAGAAAAAGAAGGCAGAGGCATGGCAAGAGAACGAAAATCAACAGGTGGCTCAAGGATTGCTGGTCTGAGGAAAGTTTTGGAGTGTTTGACTATTCAGAGGTATTTGCAGAATATATAGACCTGAGTATCTGAATACTTTGAGGTTTGTGCTCTGGGTTTCTTCCTTATTGGGTGTGTCTACACATTCATTAATTTGCTTTTGCTACTGTGCATTAAATTTAGCACTTCTATTGTGAGGTACTAACTCAATGCATATTAGGTTGCCCTAATGCGCAGTAATGAAAGCACATGCATTTTTAGTGACATTTAATGCACAATAGTCTAATTTTACTGTGTATTAGCATATTGGCACAGTTTATGCCATGATGCTCTCTCTAATGCACAGTAAAATAGGCTACTGTGCATTAAGTGCACATATAGGAAGCAGAGGGATAGGGCCAACTCTGCTCTCTGGAGCAGATGGGACAGCCCAGCCCAGGACTACAAAAAGCTGGGATGCTGGGGGACTCTGATTTAACTTGAAACAGGAAGGGGTCTGGGACAG